TAAGGGGCGCTTTTTTTTACTATACCGATGTATATAATACTTGAACATTCATGTATTTGATTTTCTTAGACCCAAACTTCAGTGAATACTAAGGGTCCACTATAACTTCAGTTAAGCATTTAGAAATATAGCTCAGTTGTTCAAAGAAAAAGGGCTGGCAAAATTACATAGGGATTGTGTGCACAGCAAATACAAAGGTTAGTTATTTGTTGTTATTATCACCACCTGCCATCAGTTCGACTTTGACATGTCATGACAATGTTATGAATGAGAGACCTCTAAGGACCCTTCCACACAGCCCTGTATCTCAGAATATCAAAGCAGAAAAGCCCACATTATCCGAGTGTGGATTCAGATAACCCAGTTCAAAGCAGATATTGTGGGATTTTCTGCCTTGATATTCTGGGATATAGTGCTGTGTGGAAGGGCCCTAAGGCTGTATAAGGCAATGTAAATTCATATAATCCAGTTCAAAACAAATAATGTGGATTTTCTGCTTTGATAATCTGGATTCTATCGCAGTGTAGAAGGGGCCTTAGGGCCCTTCCATACAGCCCTTTATCCCAGAATATCAAGGCAGAAAATCCCACAATATCTGCTTTGAACTGAGTTATCTGAGTCCACACTCAGATAATGTGGGATTTCCAGCCTTAATATTGTGGGATATAGGGCTGTATGGAACGGCCCTTAGTGGCTCTATTCTCAATAGCTCTGCTCAGGTTTTGTAGACTCAGGGGTCTGGCTTCCTTGATTTGAGTCTGTTCATCTGGAATGCAGTCTTCCTCTCTTCCTACTGCCTTTTCCCATACCAAGCATTTTTTCCCCTAATGAGTCACGTCTTTCCATGATATGGTCAAAGTCTGTTTACTCATCCTGACTACTTCTAGGGAGAATTTGGTCTTGATTTACTCTATGTCCCTTTTGTTATTATCTAGGAAGCTTCAACATTGAAAGTATAGTGTTCTCTTCAAACTCTATGATTCTATAAACACCGATGAGAATGTGGTGTCGCCTTCTTAGTTTATGTGCCACTTTTCCAGGATGAAAGTTTTTAATTGATCAAGTATTCAAAATACCAGAGTTATGCAAGACTCTTCTTTATGCTATGTGTTGTTGGGAGTGGTGGTGATAAGAGGACTACAAAGCCAGGTCTATTTATTTTATGTATTAATTTACTTTATTTTTTTTTATCCCACCTTTATCCCAGTATAGGCAACGAAGGTCTACACTGCAGGATTGATGCCGTTGGACATCTCTTTAATTACAATGGTTCAATGCTGTGACAACATGGGAGTTGTACTTTTGCAGGTCATTTAGACTCCTCTGCCAAAGAGTGGCTCACCAAACTACAAGATCAAGAATTCCATAGCACTGAGTTACGGCAATTAAAGTGGCTTCAAACTGCATTAATTCTACAGTGTGTTCACGCAGCAGCATTTCTAGACACATTACACTATGTAACATGATTTTTGGTCTTGGGTTATAAATGTCAGTCCCTAATTGGTTCCATCATAAAAACCTGGGAAAAGTTTATTAAATAGTAAAAACTTTGATTTTGTGGGACATTCTGCAACATATTTTGCTAGAGAGAATGCTTCTGGAACATGGCCATACAGCCCGAAAAACTTACAACCCATTGATTCGGGCCACGAAGAGTTTTTTTTCTCCCACCCTGGACATTCCACAGATATATAAATCACACTTGCCTAGTTTTCAACAGACCTCACAACGTATTGTCGAAGGCTTTTAAGGCCATAATCACTGGGTTGTTGTAGGTTTTTCAAGCTGTATGTCTATGTTCTAGAAGCATTCTCTCCTGACATTTCACCTGCAGCTATGGCAGGCATCCTCAGAGGTCATGAGGTCTGTTGGAAACTAGGCAAGTGAGGTTTATAAAAACTCTGGTCCTCACAACCGCTGAGGATGCCTGCCATAGATGCAGATGAAATGCCAGGAGAGAATGCTTCTGGAACAGTGGTTCTCAACCCATGGGTCCCCTGGTGTTTTGGCCTACAACTCCCACAAATCCTAGCTGTTAGGATTTCTGGCAGTTGAAAGCCAAAACATCTGGGGACTCACTGGTTGAGAACCACTGTTCTAGAACATGGTCATATAGCCTGAAAAACCTACAACCCAGACCTGACAACCTCTGGGGATGCCTGCCATAGATGTGGGCAAAACATCAGGAGAGAATGCTTCTGGAACATGGCCATACAGTCCGAAAAACTTACAACAGCCCAGTGATGCCGGCCACAAAAGCCTTTGACAGGCTATGGTCCAGTATTTCTCAACCTTCCTAATGCCGCGACCCCTTAATACAGTTCCTCATGTTGTGGCGGCCCCCAACCATGATATTATTTTTGTTACTACTTCACAACTAAAATTTTTGCTACTGTTATGGATTGTAATGTTATATTGCCTATATGTGAGTTATATTAACTATATGGTTTTACTGGGTTGTTGTAGGTTTTTTCGGGCTATATGGCCATGTTCTAGAGGCATTCTCTCCTGACGTTTCACCTGCATCTACGGCAAGCATCCTCAGAGGTAGTGAGGTCTGTTGGAACTAGGAAAAAAGGTTTATATATCTGTGGAATGACCAGGGTGGGACAAAGGACTCTTGTCTGCTGGAGCTATGTGTGAATGTTTCAACTGACCACCTTGTATGGTTTTATTTGCTTACTGCTTTGTTGTTTTATTGATTTTGTTGGGCTTGGCCTCCTGTAAGCCACCCTGAGTCCCCTTGGGGAAATGGTGGCGGGGTATAAATAAAGTATTATTATTATTATGTAAATATCTGATATGCAAGATGTATTTTCATTCACTAGACCAAAATTGGCACAAATACCCGTTATGCCCAAATTTGAATTCTGTTGAGATATTTTTTTGGGGGGTGGGGGTGATTTTTGTCATTTGGGAGTTGTACTTGCTGGGATTTATATTTCACCTACAATCAAAGAGCATTCTGAATTCCACCAATGATGGAACTGAACCCAACTTGAGACAAAACTCTAATGGCCAACAGAAAATACTGTAAGGGTTTGGTGGGAACCAGGCCTGTAGCCAGGGGGGGGGGGGGATTTTTCAAGTTAAAAATCCCCCTGGTTTACTCATGAATTTTAACTGGTTAACCAAATCCCCATGCTAAGTCTATGACGCGCAAAAAATTAAGAGTCTCTCCAGAACTGCAAGCACTATCTCAAGCAAATATTGACAATTTATTCACACTGTCATTACTTGCAGCAATAGCGGATGTAGCGAAGCAACCAAGTTGGGGGGGGGTGTTTAATGCTCTCATTAAGGAGGCCAAACTTGGTGGAGGTGGTTGACAGGGGCGGAGCTGCAGGCTATTGAAGGCTGCTCTGACCCCTGCTGTGCTCTTTGCTTCAGCATGAGCTAGGAGGCAGGTTTCAACCCCCCCCGAATTTTTCAACCCCCCCCCCCCAGAAATTTTCAACCCTCCCCAAAAAAATTTTCTGGTTAGGGCCCTGGTGGGAACTGATCTTGAATTTTGGAGTTGTAGTACACCTATATCCAGAGAGCACTGTGGAGTCAAATAATGATAGATTTGGACCAAACTTGGCACGGATACCCATTGTGAACACTGGTGGTGTTTGGGAAAAATAGATCTTGACATTTGGAAGTTGTAGTTGCTGGGATTTATAGTTCACCTACAGTCAATGAGCATTCTGAACCCCACCAACAATAGAACTGGGCCAAACTTTGCACACAGAACCCCCATGAACAACAGACAATACTGTATTGTCGAAGGCTTTCATGGCCGGAATCACTGGGTTGTTGTAGGTTTTTTCGGGCTATATGGCCATGTTCTAGAGGCATTCTCTCCTGATGTTTCGCCTGCATCTATGGCAAGCATCCTCAGAGGTAGTGAGGTTTGTTGGAACTATATATAAACCCATTTTCCTAGTTCCAACAGACATCACTACCTCTGAGGATGCTTGCCAGAGATGCAGACCAGGCATGTAGCGGGGGGGGGGGGGGGGGCCGAAGCCCCCCAAGCCCCCCCCCCGAAATTCTAATGGTGGTTCGCGAAAAGGCCTTAAAGGTAAAGGTAGTCCCCTGACATTAAGTCCAGTCATGTCTGACTCTGGGGTGTGGTGCTCATCTCCATTTCTAAGCCGAAGAGGCAGCGTTGTCCGTAGACACCTCCAAGGTCATGTGGCCGGCATGACTGCATGGAGCGCCGTTACCTTCCCGCCGGAGCGGTACCTATTGATCTACTCACATTTGCATGTTTTGAACTGCTAGGTTGGCAGAAGCTAGGGCTGACAGCGGAAGCTCACGCCGCTCCCCGGAATCGAACCTGCGACCTTTCGATCAACAAGCTCAGCAGCTCAGTGCTTTAACCCACTGTGCCACCGGGGGCTCTAATGGTATGTTTATTCATATCATGATCTGATCACCATACTCAATATATCCCATATGCATGGGGGTATTGGGGTAACGATACAAAAGGTTTGCTAGGGTAGACCCTCTTTCACTCAGACTCAGCCCCCCCCAACCAAACTCAGCCCCCCCACCCCAACTGAGGATGCTTGCCATAGAGGCAGGCGAAACGTCAGGAGAAAATGCCTCTAGAACATGGCCATATAGCCCGGAAAAACCTACAACAACCCAGTCATTACTGTGCTTTGTGATGGTCTTTGGCGACTCCTCTGACACCCCCTGGGGTCCCGACCCACAGGTTGAGAAACTCTGCTAAGGTCGGTCTGTTGAAGCAGCACGTCAGTGAGGCCTCTTGAGCAATCCTTCTCCTCCTCTTCAAAGAGTTGGACTAGGAAGGAAGGAACCCTTCCTGGAACCCCTGAATAAACCCCGCCCCCTCAGCAGGGGCGGCCAATCAGCGCGGGGGGCGTGACGTCACGGGGGAGGGGAGCGAGCGCGAGGCTGGTCCGTCGCCTCAGCGGGTCCTTTTCCTGTGGCGGCGGCGCGCGAGGGAGAGGGAGCCGGGGCGGGGGGCCAGCGGAGAGGGAGAGGGAGGGACTCCCCGTGAGGAGGAGGAGAAGAGCCGGCGCTTTGCTCCTGCCTTCGGGGCGGACTGAACAAAGGAAGGAAGGGGTCCCTCTTCCGAGTGGGAACGAAGCCAAGAAAGGGAGCGGAGTTTCTCGCCGGCCGTTTGGGCTCAAAGTTCCTCTCGCGGAGGAGAAGGAGAAGGGAAGGGCCCAGGAAAGGGGAAGGCGAGGCGGCGATGCTGTCCAACTCCCAGAACCAGGGCCCTCCCGCCCTGTTCCCCAACCCTCCCCCTCCGCCCCCTCCTCCGCCGCCTCAGCAGCAACAATTGGCCCCCCAACAGCAACAGCAGCAGCAGCAATTCCCTCAGTTCCACCTCAAGTCCGCCCTGCCGATCAAGAAGAACGCCATCACGGATGACTACAAGGTCACCACGCAGGTCCTGGGGCTGGGCATCAACGGGAAAGTCCTGGAGATCTTCAACAAGAAGACCGGGGACAAGTTCGCCCTCAAGGTAAACAAGCATGGCGGCGACAAACTTCAGCCCTCCCTCCAGGTGTTTGGGACTCCAACTCCCACCATTCCTCACAGCCTCAGGCCCCTTCCTTTTCCCCCTCAGCCGCTTAAGATCTTCAACAAGCCGCTTAAGCGGCTGAGGGGGAAAAGGAAGGGGCCTGAGGCTGTGAGGAATGGTGGGAGTTGGAGTCCCAAACACCTGGAGGGAGGAGTAGCCAAAGTTTACATATCAATGTTGTCAACCTGGGAGTAGAGACCCCCCTCCCCCAAAGACCATCACAAAACACACATTTCTGATGTCTTTAGGAACCCAAATCCCTCCAGCATTTTCTGGGGGTCCAATATGGGAAGTTTGGCCCACTTCTGTCATTGGTGGAGTTCAAGGGGCTCTTTGTAGGTGAATCGATATAAATAAAAATATAATGTTCATTTGTGGGATAAACATGCCCGTATATACTCGAGTATAAGCCGACCCGAATATAAGCTGAGTCACTTCATTTTACCGCAAAAACTGATTTCTGATATTTTTAGGAACCCAAATCCCTCCAGCATTTTCTGGGGGTCCAATATGGGAAGTTTGGCCCAGTTCTGTCATTGGTGGCGTTCAAGGGGCTCTTTGTAGGTGAATCGATATAAATAAAAATATAATGTTCGTTTGTGGGATAAACATGCCCGTATATACTCGAGTATAAACCGACCCATATATAAGCCGAGTCACTTCATTTTACCGCAAAAACTGATTTCTGATATTTTTAGGAACCCAAATCCCTCCAGCATTTTCTGGGGGTCCAATATGGGAAGTTTGGCCCAATTCAGTCACTTAATTTTATCGCAAAAACTGGGAAAACAGATTGACTCAAATATAAGCTGAGGAAGGTGAGAAATTCAGAGGCTACTGGTACATTTCAAAATGAAAATAGATACCAATGAAATGAAAATAGCCCGTATATACTCAAGTATAAGCCGACCCAAATATAAGCCGAGTCACTTCATTTTACCGCATAAACTGGGAAAACAGATTGACTCAAGTATAAGCCGAGGAAGGTGAGAAATTCAGAAGCTACTGGTACATTTCAAAATGGAAATAGATACCAAATAAATTACATTAATTTGTAGGTTAAATATTTAACCTTGCCCTGGTGGAGGGAGTTGGACTGGATAGCATCAGTAGGTTAAATATTTTTGAATATTTATATAAAATTGTAATTCACGATAAGACTGCTCTAACCTTCTTCAGTGTAAATTTGCTTACGTATCCTTCCAATAATTTCCAATAATTCGCTTACGTATCCTTCCAATAATTTCCAATAATTCGCTTACGTATCCTTCCAATAATAATAAAGACAGTAAACTAATAAATGGAATAATAATAGAGTGAAATAATAAATGGAATAATAACCATCATAGAGTAAAATAATAAATTTAATAACACTGATAAAATAAAATAATAAATGTAATAATATAGTAAAATGATAACTATCATAATAATAATTAGAGTAAAATAATAAATGCAATACTACTACTACTACTACTAATAATAATAATAATAATGACAGAGTAAAATAATAAATAACCTTGACTCGAGTATAAGCCGAGGAGGGTGAGAAATTCAGAAGTTACTGGTACATTTCAAAATGGAAATAGATACCAATGAAATGACATTATCTAATTGAGGCATCAGTAGGTTAAATATTTTTGAATATTTATATAAAATTGTTATTTAAGATAAGACTGCCCTAACCTTCTTCAATGTAAATGTGCTTACGTATTCTTTCAATAATAATAAAGGACATTAAATAATAAATGGAATAATAATTGAGTGAAATAATAAATTTATTTATTTATTTGTCGTGTCAGGGCAACCAGTCAATTATATAATAAATAATAAATGGAATAATAACAATCATAGAGTAAAATAATAAATTTAAATTATATAATAAATAATCATAATAAATTTAAATAATAAATTATATAATAAATAATAAATGGAATAATAACAATCATAGAGTAAAATAATAAATTTAATGATAACACTGATAAAATAATGTAATAATAAAGTAAAATGATAACTATAATAATAATAGAGTAAAATAATAAATGCAATAATAATAATAATAATGACAGAGTAAAATATTATTATTATTATTATTATTATTATTATTATTTTATTTGTACCCCACTAGCATTTCCCGAAGGACTCGATGCGGCTTACATCGGCCAAGGCCTCAAAACACAACACAACAATACAATACCTAAAGCAAATTAAAAACAGTTAAGCAGAATAAACAACAAACAATAAACAATACATCAAGACACTATAAAACTGAGCCGGGCCAGAGTCATGGGTACAAGATTAAAAGTGCTGGTGTGGCAGGAGGTGTGTAGGATTATAAGTAAGTGCAGAGTGCGGTGTGCAGTAATCTTAGTTCTACTAAAGTGCTTCTAGGACATTGGTATTGGAGGTTCCTAATCTGAGAAGGCACATCGGAACAGCCAGGTCTTCAAGGTCTTTCTGAAGACTGCCAGTGTAGGGGCCTGTCTAAGATCTTTTGGGAGGGCATTCCAGAGTCGGGGGGCCACCACAGAAAAGGCCCTGTCTCGAGTCCCCACCAAGCGCGCTTGCGACGCAGGCGGGATCACGAGCAGGGCCTCTCCAGATGACCAAAGTGAACGCGTGGGTTCGTAGATGGAGATGCGGTCACGCAAGTAGGGTGGTCCCAAACCGTTTTCGTAGGTAAGCACCTGCACCTTAAATTGGGCTCGGAAAATAAACGGCAGCCAGTGGAGCTCCTTGAACAGGAGGGTTGACCTCTCTCTGTAATGAGCCCCGGTTAACATCCTGGCTGCTGCCCGTTGGACCAATTGGAATTTCCGAGCTGTTTTCAAGGGCAGCCCTACGTAGAGCGCATTGCAGTAATCCAATCTAGAGGTGACCAAGGCATGGACCACCCCGGCCAGATCAGCCTAATACATAACCTTGACTCGAGTATAAGCCGAGGGGGACTTTTTAAAGCCTAAAACAACGGTAGAAAAACTAGGCTTATACTTGAGTATGTACAGTAACTCAAAAACCACTGGACGAATTGCCACCAAATTTGGCCACAAGACACCTACTAACCCAAGGAGTGGCCATCATTAAAAAAAAATGATTTTGTCATCAATGCCCTCCTGACAAAGAGCCATCCAGCCATAGATATAGTTAGATATATATGATTCACACACACACACAGTATCATAGATTTGAAAGGGACCCCTAAAGAAGGACAATGATATGTTGCATGTTCCAGAGTAAGCAAACCAGACAATCTCCACATCAATACTGACAAAGAAACAGCAAGAAATACTGTTTACCCACAAGCATAAAGACATTACATACACTTTCTAATTACTTTACCAACACTTTCTAATTACTTTATTTTCCAGATCACCAAACTGGGCCACAGCAACGCGTGGCAAATAATAATAAAATGACAGCAATACTAATGATAATACAGGCAGTCCCTGAGTTACAAACATCCGACTAACAAACAACTCATAGTTAAGAATGGGGATGAGACAACAGAAAGTGATGAAATCTACCCCTCATCTGTTGGGCCATCTGTTGGGGGTGCTTTGAATGCAAAAGATGGCCCGTGAGGTATCTTCCAACTGGATGATTCCAACTGGGACTGGATAGCCCATGAGGTATCTTCCAACTCTATGATTCTATGTGAACTACAACTCCCAGCACCACAGCTCCCAAATGTTAAGGTCTATTTTCCTCAGTGTCCAAATTTGGGCATATATAGGTAGCAATTTAGAATGACAATGACAATGGACTGACCTGGACTATGATTTCAAACCTGCGTGATTTAAACAATTTTAGTAATTTCAAAGCATTAACGAATTGTTTTCATTGCTCCACTGAAGCTTTCTCATCAATCCTTGTTTATACAACAATGCAATTATCACAGGGACAGAAAGTGAGGTGAAATTTTCTGAACAGGATCATACACAACACAAGAAACACCACAGGGGTGATCAGCCTTTCCTATGCTATCCAAGAATCCCCTGGTAGCAAAGCGGGTAAAACAGTTGAGCTGCTGAACTTGCTGACCAACAAGTCGGCGGTTCGAATCTCGGGAGTGGGATGAGCTCCTGCTGTTAGGCCCAGCTCCTGCCAGCCTAGCTGTTTGAAAACATGCAAATGCGAGGAGGCCACTAGGAACTGTTCCTGTGGGAAGGTAATGTTGCTCCATGCAGTCATGCTGGCCACTTGACCTACGGACAATGCCGGCTCTTTGGCTGAGAAATGGAGATGAGCATCCCCCCCCCCCCCCCAGAGCCAGACATGAGTAGACTTAATGTCAAGGGGAAATCTTTTCGTTTAATTTTTATGCTATCCAAAGCATATATATATATATATAGAGAGAGAGAGAGAGAGAGAGCTATAGCTATAGCTATAGATAGAGACCTGGAATTGCATTTCAAAAATGTACCTGTTCTGACTTGCATTCAAATTCAGCTTAAGCAACCTACAGAACCTATCTTGTTTGTAACCTGGGGACTGCCTGTAAATAATAAAAATGCAACAACTCAGGTTAGTGTGTGACATATTTCAGGGGCAGTCCATCATCCTCATGTTGTGCCTAGTTGAACACCCATCACTATATATAGCTAAATAAGCACACTCTCTTTTTCTCACAGGAAGAGGAGGTAGAAGGGGGCACTGTTCTGTGGCCTCTCAGGGCCCTTCCACACTGCCCCTTTATCCCAGGATCTGATCCCAGGTTTTCTCTTTATTCCAGGTTATCTGGCAGTGGGGGCTCATATATTCTAGTTCGAAGAAGATAATCTGGGATCCTATCCTGGGACAAAGGGCATTGTGGAAGGCCCCTAAGAAGTTCACTCCTTCCCATTGGAAACCTTTTTTGAGGGAAAGGGCAGCACTTGGTGATGTTATCCCTCAGAGTATTTTTTCCCCTCCATTCCTCCTAACCAACAGCTGCATGAAAGAGG